TGCTTCCAGAGGGTTAACATATCAGACAGTGTCCAAATGCATCTTTCCAAGTGCATGTATGTAGGCTCATAACGTCACAGCAAAACGACAAGGCCAACCAAATTCAAAGGATACTCAAAATGTGCTCTTTCTCACTGAAATTCAAGAATAACTCTGGGGCATATATACTGGCAAAAGCTATCCCAGGATTCATTCTGGGCTGAACATGAGATTATTGTTCTTGTGATTATGACAGATGAAGCAAGAGAGGATTACAGTTTTAAATTTTAGTAAATTGTTTTCTGGTGGTAAAAAATTAAAAAGCAGTTGGGTTGTTGGACTTCATTTCCTCATGTAAGGCATAGCTTTGGTTTAGCCATGTCAGGGTTGCTAGGCGACAGAACATATGCCGAGGTAGGGTGGGAGCAAATATGCACTAGTCCAAGATGCCCCTGTGGCTAACTTTCGAGTTTAGCGATTGATGAAGACCTTTCCTACATGGACCAGGTTGGCTGGGTCCGTACAAGAATGCTACCCCTGAATTTGGCCAGACCCAATATCCATAATACACTATTACACAATGAATGAATGAATGAATGAAGAACATGTAATGGGATAATGGAATAAGATGGGCCATGGGGAAAAGAATGAGGCCTTTGAGGGCTGCATTTGGAGGAGCCTTGGAATTTGGACAGACTTTGTCGCATAGCTGTGATGTAACCTTTCAAATGCAGCCCCTGAATTTAGACACAGCTAACGCCTCACTTGATGCAATGGCAAAAAAGTTGCAGAAAGTAGCTAAATGATGTCATCACATAATTTTCATATTCTACTGAATGCTGTAGGAGGGAGAAATGGAAAAAAGGGTAAAAATAAAACATCTTAAATATGATTAGAACCAAAAATGCACTTGTTTCTGTTGATAAGAGTGTAAGCCTGACCGTGCATGATTCGTTTGCAGTCTGGATGCAGAGACATGAACGTCCCCTGTAGTATCTGCAGCATGGAGGAGGGTACTGGGCTGCCTGTGAGTGCTTTGGAACAAGGAAAGAGTCCACTGCAGAAACGACAACATTCATGTTGAAACGCATCCTCTGTGATACAATCCCTGGTAAGACATGCAACAGCTTATTTTACTTTAGTCATGCAGATTTATAAAAATTGTAGCATAGGAAGTATGTAAATTAAATAAGCTAAGGGTATTTATTCAAGGAAAATGTGAGAAAAGTCATCCATTTCAACAAAAGTAGCTGTGTAGCTCTTATTAAATTTAAAGCTGTTGAGGTGCCTGATATTTCTAACTAAATGTCCTCCAACAAGAAGATTCAGACAAACACTCTTTTCCTCCAAAATGCCTGATTAACTTCATGTGGTTCTGGGTGTGTTTTGGCATCTATGCTGCCAATTAGATGTGAGCGTTTGACTTATTTGTGTACAATTTGTGCCTTTCGGGGCTCTCAGCTTGTGTGCGGTGGAGAGCGGCTCTTCCTTGCTCTAAAAATAAAGTCTGGCAGCATTAGCTTTTCTGCTCGGAGACTGAAACAGGAGCTGCTTCAGCCTTTTCCAGTATTTAATAAGGATTTAACGCAGATCCCAGGTCAGCTCTGCGGTAGCGGAGGTTGAAAACATAGAGCCTCGTTTTATAGGCGTAGATAAAACCCTCTTCTGTTCTGAATGGGTCAGTTAACATGTTCTGTCAGCGCTGCCTTACACCCCAACACACACACACACACACACACACACTTTCATACACTTCTTGTCTTTTTTTGTTGGTGTTGTATCACTTCTTTCTCTTCTTACGTCTTCTTGTTTCACCACCACTCTACTTTCCTCTCCTCCTTTGTCCCCCCTTTCTCTCTAAATCTGATTAGTACAGTGATACGGTTTCACTTTCCAGCATTCTTGTGTGTGTGTGTGTGTGCGCGCACTAATGGAATCCCTCTCCGTCGGGCTCAGGTGTTGCTCCACCTCTCCTCCGGCTCCTCCGGCTTCACTAAACAATGAGTTCAGTGCTGAGGATCCACACGGGGCAATGGGTCTAAAGCATGCAGATGAATAAATTAGCCTTTGCTGTGTGTGTATGTGTGCCTGTGTGTGTGTGTGTGTGTGTGTGTGTGTGTGTGTGTGTGTGTGTGTGTGTGTGTGTGTGTGTGTGTGTGTGTGTGTGTGTGTGTGTGTGTGTGTGTGTGTGTGTGTGTGTGTGTGTGTGTGTGAGAAGGAGAGAGAAGAAGAAGCAGTGCTTCTGTGTTTTGAGCCTGTCACACACTCTGTCTTTCTCAAGCCTTTTACAGCTTCTGGTCATATTACTCCGGATGGGGTCAAAGGTCAAAGCCAATGAGCCGTCAGATACAAGGGAGGCTGTGTTCAGACCGGTTCAGACTGAGCAGCTGCTCAACGTTCCTCTCTTTTTTTACCGACGCGTTTGAGAACACTGACAGCTTCAGCCCAGATTGTGAAACGCGTCGTCGACAATCGCCTATCTCTTTTACAGAGACAAAAAAATGTGATGTCAATCTTTTGGCACCCATTAGCCATGTTTCCACTGCAGGAGTTATGGAACATTTCTGGGAAGGAGAAAAGTGACAAGGAGATATGAAAGCTCGGTGTCACCGTACAAAATCAGCCCTTCCTTACTGAGGCATCTACTACCACTGCTTCAGCAATGAGTGGATTATTTTTGTTGGAAGATTACAATCAGCAATCTTAAAACCGCGTCACTGCTGCTTTTTTCTTTTCCTTCCATTCTTCTTAACCAGCAACTCTTCCAATTTTACAAATGTCATTTGCTTCTGAGTTAAAACCAATTAGATTGAGTTAACCATAAGTCCCACCCAATGATTCTTCCAGGCCTTTCCACAGTTCAGGTTCTACACTGGCTCCTTGGAAAATGGTCCTATTGGGGCAGCCTGGTGAAATGGAGACATGTGCATGCTGCAAAGGTCCAGTAAACTTACCTGGAAGTTCTGATGGTGGAAACAAGCCAACTGGTCTCATCTGGGTCTCTAAAAAGAAAAAGCTCCAGGAAGCCGTCGTCATTACTGGCCATGCTGTGCCTTTCATTGGCTTTCATCCCCTGACTTCCCCCTTTTCTCCTCTCTCTATGTCCACTCTACCTGTCTCACTGCTCTCAGCTCTAACTTCTGCTTTAGTTACAAACTAACTGTAACTCAAACATTTACTCATAACCTAACCATGAAATACGTCTAAATTGTTATCACTTAACTAGACACCTCCATTGATTCAGGCTGTCATTTTAATTTTACATGATAAATAAAAGTTTTAATTGTTTTCATCTTAGTACCTATTCAAACATTACACACAACCATACATTTTAATCTTCTTTAAGTAATAAAATGCCTCGGTTGCGTCCATCTCTTCCTGTCACGGGCAAAGGGGATTCACTGGCTGCCAGTCAACTTCAGGGTTCATTTCAAGATCCTGGTTCTGGTCTATAGGGCCTTACATGGACAAGCACCATCTTACATTGGTGATCTTCTTAGTCCCTACACCCCCAGCAGGTCCCTGAGGTCCAGTGATCAAAGCCTACTGGTTGTGCAGCACCAGGCTAAAGACCAAAGGTGACAGATCATTTGCTGCTGTGGCCCCCAGACTCTGGAACTCTCTCCCCCTGAGCCTGAGATCAGTGGACTCAGTGGTCTCCTTTAAAAAGCAGCTGAAGACTCACTTGTTCAAGCTGGTTTTGGTGTGACCTTCATCATCACCCTCTCCTTATTCTGCTCTTATTCCGCCTATCCCGTGATCCACTGATTTCCCTCTTTCCTATTCGTTTACTCTCTCCCTTTCCTTACATTTTTAATTATAATTTTCTCATTTTAAACATGTTTTTTAAACATTTTTTATATCTTTTTTGCATTGTAAATGTTTCGTTTTTGTAAAACGCCTCGTGATTTTAATGTTGAGAGGCTATAGTCCTTGTCCTTACCGTCACCTCTGTGCTTGGACACAGAGCTCTGTGAACAGCCAACCTCTTTTGCATTTGCTTTTTGCGTCTTACCCTCCTTGTGCAAGGTGTCAATGGTTGTCTTTTGGACATTTGACAGGTCAGCAGTCACCACGTCTGAATTCCTTCTTCCTCACAGCTATAGCAAGTAGTCCCTGGTTTTCAGCTTTATGCGTCACATCAGGCAGATAACCATGTGTGTTGAAAACATCAGTGAACCAACAATAAAGATTCTTCAGTTTACTTATCACTTGCTGCCAACAAATAAAGCCTAAATGCAAGGTTCAGTAAGTGTGTGCATTCATTTGACCAAAATGTATTGCAAACCACTGATAAAACTTTAATTATTGGATGTACATGGATTACTCATCTTCTACTGATTATTCCGAGAGGCAGGGGACACCCTGGACAAGTTTATCACAGAAATAAATGGAAACAAACAGGACACAACAATTCACTCAATCACCCACTCACACCTAGGGACAATTTAGAGTTGCAAATGAACCTAACAAGCATGATTTTGGCCTTGTGGGAGGAAACCGGAGAACCCAAAGGAGTGCATAGGGAGAACATGCAAACTCTGCACAAAACAGCCACAGCTGGGATTCAAACTGCAACCTTCTCAACCTAATTCAAAACAGCCACCATAGCTAGTCAGCTGTATAAAATATGTTAAAATAAATAAATAAACAGAAAATGACTAAATCTTAGTTGGTGTCATTACTATCAAAATAAAATGTTGTGTATGTTGTGGAATGTTAAAAATGTTTTATCGTTTTTTTTTATTTATATTTTACAATTATCTGTTTCACTTTTAGGTTGTTGTTGATGTAAAATAAACGTCATTGATTTTTTTTTACATTAAGGAAACATTCGAAAATGTTTGAAAGCTACAATAAAATAACAAAAAATCTATTAGTAGGATCAAAATATCAGCATCATTTCATTTAAAGTGAACCGGATCTAAATGCAAACTAAAAACAGAAAAATCTATTTTTACTAAAAAGGTGTTTACTAAGTTGCAGTAACAAGGAGTTGACACCAGATGGCGCAACCGCGCGCACACGCCGCTGACAATCATGGCGGCAACGATCAGCTCAAGGTTTACTTCCGTTTCCAGAAAAGTTGGGAATGCTCTGTTTACGTCTGTTTTTATCGCCCGAGCGGCCACCTTCAGCCACAACATGGACACGGACAGACCCACCAAGGTTTGACAGTCATCTCAGACACGTTTTAACGTGTCGTTTTGTTCATTCGCAGCATTTCACTGCCATTAAATCAGCTAAATGCTTACTTTTTTTTTACTTGTTTAGTGTTCATATTTCCGGCTAAGCTAACTCAGGCCACAGTTCGTTGCGTTTTGGACATTAGTTTAATGACGAGTTTTTCCTCCACAGCTGGAGTTTGCAGTGCAGATGACCTGTGAGAGCTGTGCTCAGCAAGTCAGAACTGCTTTAGAGGAGAAACCAGGTGAGGAGAACCAACTGTTCAC